GAAAACTTAATCAACAGACATACGTACATCACATCATACGTGCAGAAATCATTATAACTGCGTCAGATGCCGAATATCACCAAGTAGCACCAGATAATATAGAAAATATGTAGTGTTTGATACGAGAATAAATAGAGTGGACGGAAACAAGCTGAACAATACATAGTATGTGTATTCTGAAAAGCCAGCTTTTCATTAAACTCCATTAGGAATTACTCACTGAATCGACTATCAGATACAGATTCATCCGCATAAGTCAGTAAGCGGATAGTTTTACCGTGAATGGGGAAGATCCTCGAGATCACAAACAGACAACTGATCAGCTATGAATAAGCATCGTTATTAAGGATCATTGCAAAAAGTGTAATCCAAATCAAACGAAATGATAACAAGTAAAGGCAGGCCAACAATCATCTACGAAATATTTTGGACTAATTGAGAAAGACACTGTATTTGGGAAGCATATTTTGCAAAGTCACCAACTAGTATTTGATGAATTTAAATCAAACGTGTTTCATAAAATACACATGAGATAGATGAATAAATAGATGTAGGATATTCATGCTCTTCGACCATTGAACTATTCACTATTGGCCAATTTAGCTAACATACTTTATTTCGTTTTACAGACGAACCACCACTCAACACATTCGACTCAACGATATTTGGTGAATAAGATTGCGAACTCAGTCATTACATGTGAAATATCATTAAAATGAAGGATCTCCACAAACAAGTCATCCTGAAAGCCAATTCGAATTGGTCTATGTATTTACCATTACTAAGGCGTTACAGTAATTATTTATATCATTTATCGCAAACAAATATTCATCGTTTCCTTTCCAAACGTAATGTAGATAAGAAGACTCAGTACTTTAATTACCATATATTATGTATTGTGTTAGAATTAGAAAATGTTATTCAAGAATACTGTTAAGTTCACCACAGATTAAATCGGATTAGTATATTTCAGTGTACAATACTGTTATTCTTATCTGATGATGATAGTAGTGTTGATGAGGTTAGAAAACGGGTGATCTGAAAGAAAAGTATATGAAAGAATTTGATCATTCTTGGTAATATTTCAGACACTAGATAATTCTCATGAAAGCATTCATTCTCACATCTTTGAATATTATGATGCTTTTGGATTAAGATAATAATCGAGCATGCAATGTATAACAAAAACAAGGGTGGAAATTTTATGAATATTCTAGACGAAACATGCGATGACGATTAATTCAGCTTTGATTTGTCAATTCTATTTAATCGATAGAAGACAATCACATCCTATCACAAATTGAACAACACTACAATAAGTATTCTGTTTCACTATAATAATTTTAATATAATTGTACACATATTGACGGAAGCTATATGCAACTATTCTGGAACAATTATTGATTTGCAAGGGTATCATTGATGTTGCCAACCGGATATTGATCATATACAAATTGAATACACTTTCAAAAATGTTTACAAAACATTTTGATCAAACCATATTCATCTAACAACTAGCGACAAAACAACGTTAATCCACAATCTGTGAGTAGATATTGATAGCATTTTGTGAACGATAACTACCATGCTAAATGGTCATGATTAAATGGATTGTGTATTTACAATCAGTTTTCAACGAAACTTGAAAAGAGATATATATTAAGATATAATTATAACACAACGATTCAATACTCACTTGTCACTCGTCATCTGTGAATTTGTAAATCAAATGAACAGTGAAAATCATAAAATGTAACAACAATCGTAACAATTTTGTTAATACACACACTCCCTCTTTCTGTATTGTTGTTTGATGAGGCCACCTAAACCGATAAACATTTGCACTAGTCTATCGACAGTTGAATTCCTGATTCCGATAATCAACAAATTGATACACGTTTCCTAAATACAGGTCATGATTTTAGGGAAATGAACAACGATCGCCACATATTCCAATTACGTCAACAACAGACGTCTAAATGACAGGAAGACATAGAGAAACAAACCGACAGAGTAAGTTCAATAGAAAAATGAAAGCGTTGAATCTGATGACTCAAATATTATTCTGTTGTCAATTTTTTTGCATCTCTACTAATGCGTATATGACTTTGTCTTTTTAATATTTTTTTTCGTTTTTTTTAATTTATGATTTCATCTTTATGTTGATGCTTATCTATACTTATTTCCTTATTTCTTTAATGTTTTTTTTTAAAATTCGTGTTTTTCTAATATTCTCACCGTATTCTTTCGATTGCAATAATTCGTCAATAGACCAGTATATTCTTCTGTATATGTTATATTCCAAACAGCAATATCCTTTCTTCATTAGTTCTCGGTATTTCATACTTATTCTTATATTTCCTCCAGGCATCTCGAAGACACAGTTCTCCATTGATTCTCCAAACCCGAGGTATCTGCTCGACATAATGTTCTTCAGCTACAATTAAAATATTTAGACAGTGTATTACTGCATAGTACTTTTTAATGCCACAATGTCCTTTTGTAAACAATTAAATATTCCGTAATCGTCGGTATGTATCATATAGTAACTTTGTGAGAAATTACTCCTATTTTTCTATGAAACTGCTTCCAAATAAATACTGATAAACTTAGATAACAAATGCTACGGATGCCACATAACACTGATGTTTGACGTTTAGGTCCACAGAACATCAAGAAAACAACATGCATCAATAAATGTCATCAAAGCGAGTATCGATGGGCTATTCGTTAAAATTTTGGAATTAACGGTACGAAGATATAAATATCATGCGATAAACTTAAATTTATAATCTCTTCAAACTAACACGTAACTGCTACTTGATCGATCAACACAAAACGTAATACGCTCAAGAAAACTTACATCAGCGCACCTATCAGCAACTACGTGCGTTCCATAATTGCTTTCGAACAGATAGGTTTCTAAAATGTACAACATTCATTAGACATAGTTTGTGGAACAAATATTCACTAATAAATAAAATATTTCATCAATCGGTTTGCTAATCAAATCACTCTATTCAGTGGGTATTGTAAGCCATACTACACATAAGCATTTGTGTTGACCGACGAATCAGTGATAGAAACATTATGATTTTTCAGACATCATATACATTCACAGCTGATTTCATCCTCGATTCAAACTAATACAACCTTCGTTTTGACATGTCAGTCAGTAAGAACGTAGAACTTCGTACGTACGTACATCAGTTCGAGTTGCCACACCACCTTAACACAGATGCAGTTGTCGATCCAAATCCCGTAGTGGGAGAGATAGCAAGAGTGTAAGCAGTGATCGGGAAGATTAGGGTTTGAAGATGTTATTTAAAGAGTATAATTCAGTGCAATAAATTTGGAAAGAGGAAAGAAAAGGGACATGAAGAATTCAGAAGATTAGAATTTGGGAGAACACAAAGAGTGGATGCACCTGCGCCATTGCAAACGATTTTGAGCCATGTCATTCAGGGTCTCTAACCATCGGTTGCTATCATCTCGCGGTCCCCAACCAGGTAGTCTACACCTACCAACATGACTCAGACCACTTGTCAATGACTTCATGGACTTGTGCCATGTTTTGGTCTGACCGCCCCTAGCTTTCTTCCAACCTACTCCATACCACTGAACATCGCACGTCGAGGCAGTCGGTCGTTGGGCATACGTAACACGTGTCCCAGCCATCTCAACTGATGAAGTTTCACTACTTCATCAATTGATTTGCCATCCTTACCTAGTACCCGTTTCCTAACAGCTGCGTTACTTACTCGGTGGTCCCAGGATATACGAGCAATACTTCGAAGACACCTATGATCGAATACTAGTAACCTACGAATATCCTCTACTCTTACCGGCCATGTTTCACTGCCATAAAGTAGGATGGGACGAACTGCAGCGCAGTAAACACGTCCTTTGGTTGATAGACGGATATCTCACCTACGCCATAAATGACGCAAGTTGGCAAAAGCTAGTCGAGCCTTCTGTATCCGTGCTGAGATTTCGTCACATACCGGACCACAAGGGCTGATGAGACTTCCAAGATAAGTGAAGCGGTCGACACACTCAACTACTTCACTCCCTATCACTAGTTCGGGTGTCGATGTTGGTGAAACCAATTCAGGAAATGTTGTCATAATTTGTCAACAAGAGTATTGATCTGGAGATATGAGATGAATGGATCAAGATCAACTTGTCGAAAATCAAGTGAGCTTGTCTAGTGAAAACATCGCTGAAATGCAGAAGAGAGGCAATCAGCGTAGCAGTCGAATGATATTTCTAATCAATCACTTGATTCCTCGGTGTGAATTTAATGCCAGAGTGTTTGTGTGTTGAATGCCTTTACAAGCATGTAAATATCAGGAGCTTTTGACTGATCAAATTATGGAGGTCGATTCACAAGGCCTTCACGAGTCGATCGTTCCCCGACCCATCCAGTAAACTATATAATTTCACTACAGTTGCATCATCGATATTACGATCAGTTTGTTAACATCATTCAGTTCACACAACATTCAAAAACAAAGCAATGAACACATTTCATCCAGTCACTTTTACACACCTCAGTTGAGATCATAAAATGATAACAGGAGATTCAAATTTCAAAACAACTGCCTCATTTATGGGACAACTTACCATCGCTAAAGGTTTTCAGATCTACAAGTCAAAATAAATATTATTTTGCGGTTGATGATAACAGACTGCTCCTTTCATTCATTTCACAAACCATGTTTACATACCACTACACATCTGTCACTTCTGAAAGTCACACAATACGTTGACAGACTGATGTTATCAATATTTTACAGTATCACTGACGTCAACAAATTTTACAATACACACAAATGACAAAATTTATCGTGAACTTACCACTCACTGAAACGATTTCTGAAATGAAGTACAATATATTTACTTAGTGCTGAAAACTACAAGCGATGTCAATTCAACTAAACACATTATATATTGAACAAGTGTGGATATCAACAAGAAAACTGACATGCATTGGTGATTCACTCACTAGTTATCCATTTGCTATTCACATTCACAGTACCCGATTCAAGTGCATTCTTTAACGATGAAAACCACGTGTTTGATGAATATACTTTTTCCATTTCACTCGTTAACACGGCAAGTTGAACATCGATGGTTTTGGCATCATTATTCTTTGGCTTTTGTGATTGATGGATATCACATGACAGAGTAACGGAACTCAGTTTTGGCTCCAATTCCTTCACCACATTCACAACCTTTAGAAAATCACATGAATCGGTCAAATTATTTTGTTGAAGTATTTATGAAAGTGATCATTCTAACTCAAAACGTAAATTTTATGGGTGTTCGTGTAATTATTCATATTTGGATATTTATGTCTAGTCACAAAAATGTTTATCCGGAGTGACAATAACCTAACGCTGAATCATAGTGATATTCAACATTTACCCTTCGGTAATAAAGTTTCATTTTTACGTATAATTATTATTTAACATTAATTGTTGCGCGTTTACAAGATCAATGTGCAAGTTCACTCAAAGATTCATGTGGCCAATATATGGAGATCGATTGAAGTAAAATAAACCCGAATAATGTTATTTTTCACGTCGCTTCATGTAAAAAAGCCCAAGTGATAACTTTTAGACTTACATTTGCACAGTATCTATCCAAAACGTCTAGGGAGTCCCTTACATCATTCTTTGTAATCAGTTCATCCCACTCCTTAACGGAGACAGAGAGTTTAGCCACAACGATATCTAAAACAAACCGGAATCCAAACATGTTAGATGAAAGCATAATATGAACACGAAAATCATTGAAAACGTCAGTATGGCTGTCATGGATGAAAATGTACATCATTCACAATAATCCGTCAGTATCACTGTGAAATTTGTATTGTTTATATGCTGATCAGGATACACTAAAAGTTTCAACGACCATTTATTCAAGTCTCATCATGCTCATAATGGATAGATTGATTTTTTATGAAATATTTTGAACGCGCCCATACTGGGCGATCCAATATTCGAAGTCCTTAAATAAATGAGCTAAAACAAGAATCAGCAATGCGTGAAGCTAAACAAAACCGGGATGTACACTTCAATTCTCATTCAAACAGAACCCATAAAAATCATCACTCATGACTATGTGCGTTGTAGTTCGAGTGTAAGAGTAAAACATGTGATGCTACTGAACATCTATTCAAATTGTACTGCATGATTTATTCGATATACATAGAAATAGACCTGATTCCATTAACATTTTATACGACACGTGATGGAAGTGCAATTCATCAGATGAGATTACTGTTAAATTAACTTACCTGCATTTGTAAACTCAAGAAACTGCGCTGTCAACAACAAAAGCAAAACAATGGAAATTATGGAGACGAGACATTCACCTGAATTAAGAAACGCTTAATTAGTTTACTGGCAAGTAGACACAACAAGTGATTGATCACTGAGTAATGACTAGCGTTACGTTCACATAATTTTACTAAGGGCTTCGGACATTGAGTGAGACAACCTCTACACAGTATTCACTAAACAAAGAATTCGCGTATAGACAGGAGTTCAGCTGTTGAAGAATAGCTCATTGTTGACATCACAGATTACAGAGCTATTTTATATGGGGTGCAATCCAATGTAATGCAACACTTCCTTCAAACTTTCAGACAGATTTCGTTGACGAGTGGCTATCAATATGAACAACGGTTCTAGGGTTTCCTGAGAATGAGCTTTAACCACCGAATAAGTTAGACACATGTTTATCAAGAATTATTCGGAATAATATGAGCTGTATGGTTTTGCATAACGTCGTGGGATAAATTTGTTGAAGTCACTGATTTTCGTCTTTCGTCCCAAAGCAATATCATCACACGCATATTCACATCAATAGACAGTTACTTCATCAATCAGTCGAACACGTCTACTGTGATCCTATTAACCTACTGTGCTTTGAACTCATGTATATTGAACTCAAAGTTTAAATGTTTGTGAGAATCTACAGAGTTTCTAATGTCCTTCTGTGAAAACCTATGATGAATAGGCCAACATCAAATGCTATTCCATGTGATGTGCGATCCAATGTGCTTTGATTGAGTGTCACTAATATTTTTTCCTGTTGACAACTTCATCTCCAACGAGACTGATGTGGAAGTTCATCCGTTAACTCGTCATAAATGTTTTTACAGACGCAAGAAGTACACATAGTTTACTTACATTACACTGTAAACCATGGAGCGACAACAGTGTAGACTGTCTGTGGTATGGGGTATGAAACACTGGGTGGCGACACAGTCTAGTGAAGTGTTCACGAGTACAATTTGTGTGTGAACAGTTGTTGTTTATTGCTCTGAGGTCCTATACTACAACGAATCACTAGTTCGCTGTTCTCTGGTCAACACTGACAGCCCAGCTAAGATCAGTTCGTGATTCGAACTAAAAATTGGAACAATTTCACAGGAAATTTAGTCGTTCATTATTCATAGTTCTCGTTTTCGAATAACCAGCCGATTTTCACCATCTCAGTTGCATAAAAATATTTGATCGAATGACGAGACTTCAATTCCCCTACTACTGTTCTGTTTCGTAAGTCATGTTCAGGCATGAATTTTTATTGTTTTGTAAGTAAGACTATTCAGAAGAATGTTCATTCAAACGAATGAGGCGTCAATTGGATTTTTATTAGACTTTCTATTTGACAGAGTAGAGCTGAACAAATCATCACATTTATTTATTGACACTCATTCACTTCGTAGTCTTTCCTTCCTCATAAATGGGAGTTTATAACCTGTTCAATCTTCAATTTTTTTAGTCTAATATTGTTTGATCGGAGTTTCATGTTTTCGTTGTATGTATACAGATCTGAATAAACAATGATCGTTGTCAGAAAACGTGCACTCTTAGCGCCTGACTTCATGTTATCTCCACTTCAAAATTTCATCAAATTTCTAGATTTAAAACACGCCATTACTTCTATCAACGGCAAATATGAAGTAAAGTCAACCTTTCCACTACGCGTTCAATCAGGATATTCTTTCACTGTTTACATCAACCAAAGTAGATTGACTTAAAAGTTCAGTCGTTCAAATTGATATTAAGTAAAAACAGTGTTGAATGAATACATTTTTATGGTTCTTCAGTAAAGATAACAAACCGGGAAGTATTACAAATGATGCTGCGGTCACATTGTATCACGTAAACTAAGGAATTGTCATGCAGTTTGCTAAAGGAATATTGCTTTCCAATACCGTCGTGTTAGCATATTTCAAAATGCTCGCAGTACATGAACAACGCCTTCAACAAGGCTTTCTTGAGGCCTGTAGACTATCAAAGTATCAGAATTCTTAGACTACCCGTAAGTTTATCGCAATTAATCACAAAGAAGAAGAACGTAATACGATGATATGCACAATAATATTCATAGGATAGTTTTATTGTGATCTCTAAACCTAAATGACAGGAAGACATAGAGAAACAAACCGACAGAGTAAGTTCAATAGAAAAATAAAAGAGTTGAAACTGATCACTGAAATCTCATTCACTGATCGGACGATAGTAAAAATTCACATGTCTCGAGACCCTCAAATTACAAATGACAGAGAAGAAGAGAGATACACAGACAGACAGAACGAGAGAGAGAGGGAGAGAGCGAGTGAGAAAGGAGTCTACAGTCGAGCAAACATACCGAGAGAACTTCCTTCCTCCTCAGTCACCATTCCACTTTGAGTTGCTTCGCTCTTCATTTTCGTCTCACCACCTAAATGACAGGAAGACATAGAGAAACAAACCGACAGAGTAAGTTCAATAGAAAAATAAAAGAGTTGAAACTGATCACTGAAATCTCATTCACTGATCGGACGATAGTAAAAATTCACATGTCTCGAGACCCTCAAATTACAAATGACAGAGAAGAAGAGAGCTACACAGACAGACAGAACGAGAGAGAGAGGGAGAGAGCGAGTGAGAAAGGAGTCTACAGTCGAGCAAACATACCGAGAGAACTTCCTTCCTCCTCAGTCACCATTCCACTTTGAGTTGCTTCGCTCTTCATTGTCATCTCTTCACCTAAATGACAAGAAAACATAGAGAAACAAACCGACAGAGTAAGTTCAATAGAAAAATAAAAGAGTTGAAACTGATCACTGAAATCTCATTCACTGATCGGACGATAGTAAAAATTCACATGTCTCGAGACCCTCAAATTACAAATGACAGAGAAGAAGAGAGCTACACAGACAGACAGAACGAGAGAGAGAGGGAGAGAGCGAGTGAGAAAGGAGTCTACAGTCGAGCAAACATACCGAGAGAACTTCCTTCCTCCTCAGTCACCATTCCACTTTGAGTTGCTTCGCTCTTCATTTTCGTCTCACCACCTAAATGACAGGAAGACATAGAGAAACAAACCGACAGAGTAAGTTCAATAGAAAAATAAAAGAGTTGAAACTGATCACTGAAATCTCATTCACTGATCGGACGATAGTAAAAATTCACATGTCTCGAGACCCTCAAATTACAAATGACAGAGAAGAAGAGAGATACACAGACAGACAGAACGAGAGAGAGAGGGAGAGAGCGAGTGAGAAAGGAGTCTACAGTCGAGCAAACATACCGAGAGAATTTCCTTCCTCCTCAGTCACCATTCCACTTTGAGTTGCTTCGCTCTTCATTGTCATCTCTTCACCTAAATGACAAGAAAACATAGAGAAACAAACCGACAGAGTAAGTTCAATAGAAAAATGAAAGCGTTGAATCTGATGACTCAAATATTATTCTGTTGTCAATTTTTTTGCATCTCTACTAATGCGTATATGACTTTGTCTTTTTAATATTTTTTTTCGTTTTTTTTAAATTTATGATTTCATCTTTATGTTGATGCTTATCTATACTTATTTCCTTATTTCTTTAATGTTTTTTTTTAAAATTCGTGTTTTTCTAATATTCTCACCGTATTCTTTCGATTGCAATAATTCGTCAATAGACCAGTATATTCTTCTGTATATGTTATATTCCAAACAGCAATATCCTTTCTTCATTAGTTCTCGGTATTTCATACTTATTCTTATATTTCCTCCAGGCATCTCGAAGACACAGTTCTCCATTGATTCTCCAAACCCGAGGTATCTGCTCGACATAATGTTCTTCAGCTACAATTAAAATATTTAGACAGTGTATTACTGCATAGTACTTTTTAATGCCACAATGTCCTTTTGTAAACAATTAAATATTCCGTAATCGTCGGTATGTATCATATAGTAACTTTGTGAGAAATTACTCCTATTTTTCTATGAAACTGCTTCCAAATAAATACTGATAAACTTAGATAACAAATGCTACGGATGCCACATAACACTGATGTTTGACGTTTAGGTCCACAGAACATCAAGAAAACAACATGCATCAATAAATGTCATCAAAGCGAGTATCGATGGGCTATTCGTTAAAATTTTGGAATTAACGGTACGAAGA